CACAACCTCCTTTGATAGGATTTTTTCTGCAAACTGAAATGAACAGCTTCATTTAATGGCTTCAAATTGAAGTAACAAAGAAAGTAATTCACTGCACATGCCTCAAAATAAATATCAAAATCCTAAAGTCATACACTGTGTGACAATATGTATGCACCTTCAGTGAAAATACACCACATGATGTACTATCCTGTTGTTTTGGATGCTTGACTGTGTCACATGTCCAACGTGAGACATTGCACCCCTTCTTCCTCATAAATGCCCTGTAAATATAGATATATTAATAAGAAAAACTTTATTTGATTTTCATACTCGAGTTAAACTTCAATTTTTAACCATACCTTGTGATTTGCAAACATTTCTGGATGTCTTGTTTTGATTCCCCCAGTGGATTCAAGAACAAAGACTTTTTCTCTTGTGGGTAGATCACCTAGAAAGTGTGTATTTGACAGTTTTCAGGTGGTTTTTGTCTATGAGACAAGTATGATATAAATTGTTTTTAAAGTCTAAAAAACCTTTATTACCACTAAAGTCCAGTGGTGGTGTTGATTGTTGATTCCCAGAATTATTTCATAATTCATTGGGTTCATCTGTGAATAATAATGAAAAAAAACATAAAGATTTTTTCATATCAAGAACAAAACGTGTTTAGTAACACACACATTGGACTGAGATTATATTTTTGTATAGGTGATACAGAAAAATCTGTAAAAACATATAATCATCAACATATTTTCTTTTCATCAATTCAAAAATACTAATAACACCTGGAATTATCTTCCCATATCTTGGTTGGGCAGAATCTCGCTTCTTAAGATGAACATTCTCCCTCGCTTGTTGTACCCAATTAGGATGATTCCTATTTTGTTCACTCAGAGATGGATCCAAAAATTAAAGAGTCGGTTTGGTTCCTTTATCTGGGCCAAAAGAAGGGCATTCATAAAAATGTCAACACTACAGCTACCAAGAAACATGGGCGGCTTAGATCTTCCAGTCCTCAGAAAATACCAATTGAGTTCTCTTATTTTATATGCCCGAGAGTGGATATCTGGAAACCCATCAACAGTGTGGCTGGATATAGAAGCCTCGTTATGTGACTGTCCTCTTAAAAGCCTGCTTTTCTTGAAAAATATAAAAACAATAAACAAATACTGTGACAATCCACTCACTGTGAATACAGTCAAGGCCTGGAGGGCGGTTCAACACATCGAGGGAAGAACTGGGAAGACATCCCCATTTACACCCTTTGTCCAGAACCCTGACTTTCTTCCGGGTATGTTAGATGCAGGTTTTGGGGAATGGGTGGCTAAGGGTGTTTCCTCTTTGGGCTGTCTTTTTAAGGAGGGGATCCTCATGTCTTTTGATTTAAATTATGGAAGCCTTTGGAGTAGGGAAAAATAACCTCTTCCGTTTCTTCCAGTTAAGAGACTTTATTAAAAACAACTCTAATCAGGGACACTGAGATTGTGGGCATCAAAAAATTGTTCTTCGGAACTCGTGAAGTGTCACTCAGTATGTGCTACAAAACATTAAAATGCTATAAATGTCACATACCAACTCTGGCCCAGGCCTGGGGAGGAGAGCTGAATATCGAGATCACGGATGAAATGTGGAGCAGTATTTGGAATTCTGCCAAAAAAATTACTATTTGTAATCGCTCCTGGGCATTGCAACTTAAATTAATACATAGAGCTCACTTGGCCCCAAACAGGGTGTCTAAATTTAAAACGGGGTCCTCTTCATTGTGCCCAAAATGCAAAATAGATGAAGGCAGCCTCACAAACTGTCTTTGGTCATGCCCCAAGATTCAGCTATACTGGAAATCTATTCTGGCTGAGATTAGGAAAATTTTCAAAACTAACATTGATCTCGATCCAGTGTCTCTCCTCCTTGGTCTACCAAATAAACATATCCAAAACCAAAATAAGAGTAAGTTGTACAATGTTCTGATTGGCGCCGAAAATGGCTGCCTCGGTGCTTTCACCAAAGCAAATTCCTTGTATGTGTAAACCTACTTGGCAATAAACCCAATTCTGATTCTGATTCTGATTCTGATTCTGATTTTCTGTGCCCGAAAGAATGTTTTATTACAATGGATTTCTAATAAATCTCCTACAATTTTTGGGTGGAAGAAGCTCATTTTGGATTATATTCCTCTAGACTTTCTAACATGCCTCGTCCACTCTAAGACTGACATTTTTGGACGCATATGGAAGCCCTTCCTGGACTATGCTGAAGGACACGTGTCTACCATCCTGTCTCGAGCATTTATTAATGTTTAGATGTGTACTATACAACGATGGAAGTATGTATGCCCCCCATCTTATATTTCCTTTTATCTCTGGACTGCACTGCTGAGCTTTTGTTTTGTGTTTTGTTGTTGTTGTTGTTGTTAAACAAAAAAATAAATAAACATATCTACAAAAAAAGAAAAAAGAATCCTAAACTTCACTTGCTGGAAGGAAAAGTCAGTGTTCATCCAGTTCTGACCTGAGTGTTTCTAGTCTGCAGTTTGGACTTTCCAGTCCAGCAGAAACATGTTTGACTCCTGAATCCCTCAGCTGGTTGTTACTCAGGTCCAGATGTGTCAGACTGGAGGACTGAGAGCTGAGAACTGAGGACAGAGCTTCACAGCTTCTCTCTGAGAGGTCACAGTCACTGAGTCTGAGAAGAGATAAAATAAATGGATTAGATCATCAATCAGTCAAACAGCTTTTGTAGATTTTCATGTCACTTCTGTGCTCATGAAAATAAGGTAAAGAAAAATCTCTGAATGAATTATAGCAGAATCTTCTATTTTCAAAAATGGAAAGACCAAACCCAAAACTAAAGCTAAGTTCAGACATAATGATGCTGTGTGACCGAAAGTCATGATAAACCATGTGGAGACTTTCTGTCCATGCTGTTAAAAACTTTTGTCTGTTCAAGAAACACTTAAAATGATTCTGCCTGTGTCTGAAATATATTAATAATCAGACTTAAGATGTTATGGTAGCTTATTAATATGAAAAATTACATCTGTAAAATTCTTTTGAACTTATAATTAAAGTGCAGTTTCCTTGAAAGCGAGTTTGACTGTGACTCTGCTGTTTGTCTCCAGCTAATAAGTGACCACTTCAAAAGAGATCAATCTGTGTCTGTACTCACAGAGCTTTCTTTGAGGCTTTGACCACTGGCAGCAGCCTCAGAAGAGCCTCCTCTGAAGCAGAATATTTCTTCAGATCAAACTCATCCAGATCTTCCTCTGATGACAGTAAGACGAAGACCAGAGCTGACCACTGAGCAGGAGACAGTCTATGTGTGGAGAGACTTGCTGAACTCAGGGCCTGTTGGATCTCCTCCACCAGAGAACCATCATTCAGTTCATTCAGACAGTGGATCAGGTTGATGCTTCTCTCTGCAGACACATCCTCACTCAGCTTCTCCTTGATGTACTGAACTGTTTCCTGATTGGTCTGTGAGCTACTTCCGGTCTGTGTCAGCAGACCTCGTAGGAGCCTCTGATTGTTCTGCAGAGAAAGACCCAGGAGGAAGCGGAGGAACAGGTCCAGGTGTCCATTTGGACTCTGTAAGGCCACATTCACAGCACTCTGATGGAGATCTTTTAACTTTGGTTTCTTAACGAGCGTCTTGAAGGATCTTTTTTGTTCTTCCAGCAGGTTGAGTCCAGACCTGCTGAAGGTCAGATGGACGTGCAGAGCAGCCAGAAACTCCTGAACACTCAGGTGGATGAAGCAGAACACCCTGTCCTGGTACAGCCCGCTCTCCTCTTTAAAGACCTGTGTGAACACTCCTGAGTACACTGAGGCTGCTGAGATATCGATGCAACACTCTGTCAGGTCTGATTCATAGAAGATCAGGTTTCCTTTCTGCAGCTGATCAAAAGCCAGTTTTCCCAGAGACTCCACCATCTTCCTGCTCTCTGGACTCCAGTGTGGATCTGTCTCAGATCCTCTGTCATACTTGGCCCTCTTCACTTTGGCCTGAACAACCAGGAAGTGGATGTACATCTCTGTCAGGCTCCTGGGCAGCTGCCCCCCCCCTCTGGTTCTCAGCAATTTCTCCAGAACTGTAGCAGAGATCCAGCAGAAGACCGGGATGTGGCACATGATGTGGAGGCTCCGGCAGCTCTTGATGTGGGAGATGATGCTGCTGGCCTGCTCCTCATCTCTGAACCTCTTCCTGAAGTATTGCTCTTTCTGCTCGTCTGTGAAGCCTCTGACCTCTGTCACCATGTCGACGCAGTCAGTAGGGATCTGATTGGCTGCTGCGGGCCGTGTGGTGATCCAGAGGCGAGCAGAGGGAAGCAGATTCCCCCTGATGAGGCTGGTCAGCAGCACGTCCACTGAGCTGGACTCTGTGACCTCAGTCAGGGGCTCCTGGTCGTGGAAGTCCAGAGGAAGTCGAAACTCATCCAGACCATCAAAGATGAACACAACCTGGAACTCTGCAGAGCTGCAGACTCCTGCTGCTCTGGTTTTATGAAAGAAGTGTTGAACAAGTTCCACCAAGCTGAACTCTTTATGTCTCAGCACGTTCAGCTCTCTGAAGGTGAAGGGAAACAGGAAGTGGATGTCCTGGTTGGCTTTGCCTTCAGCCCAGTCCAGAGTGAACTTCTGGGTCAGGACTGTTTTCCCTATGCCAGCCACTCCCTTTGTCAGCACTACTCTGATTGGTTGGTCTCTTCCAGGTGGAACTTTAAAGACGTCTTCTTGTCTGATGGCTATTTCTGGTCTGTCTGCTTTCCTGGATGCTGCTTCAATCTGTCTGACCTCATGTTCCTCATCGAGCTCTATAGCCCCCCCCGCTGTGATGTAGAGCTCTGTGTAGATCTGATTCAAATTGTTTTTCTCTCCTGCTTTAGCAATGCCCTCAAACACACTCTTGAACTTCTTCTCCATAGCAGACTTATGTTTGAGCTCACAGTCCAAATAAAACTCTGAATGGAAAAAGAAACACATGGAAGATTCAATTTATTTTCCTCAAAAGCTGAAAAGGTCTCACAGAGAAAGACAGTGGCTGTTCACAGTAACTGCTGTTAAAGGATGTGTGGCCTCACCTTTCAGAAGAGGATGAGCAGGGGAAACGCCCAGATCAGAGGAAAGGACTGGCTCTATGGCTTTAAAATGTTCTATCATCTTCTTACAGGCATTCTCTCCTTGATTCTTCACATAGTCCAGGAGATCACGTGCTTTGTCGGCTCTAACTGGGTTCTTCTGCAGTATCTCCTCTTTTTGCAAATTATTGAGCACACCATCTTTTCGTAAGGCATCGATGAGCTGTTTGAGGCTTGCTTCTGGCATTCTGTCCACAAAGTTACACCTGATCTTTTCAACCTCGCTCACTGCAGGAAGAATCAAACACACTCTTAAAGTTTTCAGTGCATGCTCTTGAGGCATTAAGTGAAGACAGGCCTCCATTTGAAGATGTACTTCAGCAGAACTGAGTATTACTCATGAAAACACTTCTTTAAAGAAGCTGTGAGCCCAGAGAGTACAAAAGAACCAAACCATTTCAGGGTCAATAACCAGATCTGTGAGAACAGGTGAGGACTGCAGATGGAGCAGTAACCTGAAACTTCTATTCCCAGCATTCATAACCAGAAACCTTCTCACTAACTGGTGGTTTCCTTCCAGATTTGTTCTGTTTTGATTCATTTTCTTCTGTCTTTGATGTAGCTATCCTGTGTGTTTAAAGACTTTCTACAGTTCATTGTTTTGTTATTTGGTTACCGTGTGCTTGCCTTTGTTTAAATTGACTGTCCAAAGGTGGCAGAAGATAAAACTTCCATGTGCTTTTTAGTTAAAACATGTTTATTCCTCTTTCTGACCTGTTTGGGCTTTTTTCACTCTTTATTCAAATTGAGGGTCACAGATAAGCCCTCACTCTAGTTTTAATGAATGCAAATACGTATATTTTGAAGTTGTTATTGAATGGATGACCCATGTGTATGTCTTTAACTGAATAGGACATCTTTACACGCAGTGATGCTAAAACAAAACAGAAACAATCTGCTGTGATTGGTCAGCGGCGCTTCACGACTCCTGCTACAGATCCTGTATCAGAACATATCTGGTAAACAGTCTTCATTCATCGTGTTGAATGGTTAACCTGTTGTGCTGGCCACTGAAGCTTTACCTGCTGAAGAGGATGGATGTTCTGAAGTTGCTGAATGGGTTGGGGGGCCTTCTGTTGGAGCTTCTGAAGGGTGTCCCTCTGTTTCCTTGTCATCATCTTTGCTCTAAAAACATTGAGAATCCGGTTCATGCAGGACTCATATTGCATCACTTACCACTCATCATATGTGTCCTGCATGAGTGGAAGTGTTCACAGGACTGGAGTATTTGTGCCCACTGAACAACAAACACACTCTCAGTTGTGCTACAGTTGTATCAGAGCACATTAAAAGTAACAAATTCTAATAAATATTTTGTTTTATTCTGCTCCACAACTCAAATAGGAATGAGATAAACTGTGGCTTTGACACCACAAAACATAAACTATTCCTTTTTCTTACATTTAACATAAGGTGGTAAGCTTCTCTTTTTATACTAGAGAGGCCAAATTGTTCGCTTTCTGGCTCGAATTATTAAAAGGTCAAACCAGACCAAAGCAACGCAGCTCTGAGTTGAGCTGAGTAGATATTCAGGCAAACCCAGCAAATTCTTGAGGCATTACACATCGTTTGTGGCCTGAGAACATCTTGGAATCCTTCAGGAGAAGCTGGAGTGTGTTGTTGGGAGGTTTTTAGTTCCATCCTGTTACGTCCCGGCTCTGGAGCTGGCTCCACCCCCACCTGCACACC